GGACTTGGCCAGGCCTCTACACCTTTAAGTTGTGAAAAGTGATGGATATTTTATTAATTCATGTCGACTGCCCAGTTTTTTTTTTTTGACATAGTACAACCAAAGATGCTCACACACATGCACATACGCTCGTCCCTATTAACTCACGCGCAGACAACTACCCCTATGAGCACCTCTGAGATAGTAGGCCGCCACAACATCTTGAGATTGACGAAGTCTCTATAGGTGTCTTGTAGTCGACAGGGACATCATAAACTGACAAACATCACCGAAAAATCAGACACAAATCTAGGAAAATGCGAGCACCGTTGCGAAGTCTAGGAATTATACCCCTAGTGGGTTGGTTCATCTTTGAGGAACCTAAGCATCTGGGCTACAATCAGTTCGCTACTACCGGTATCCTTGTAAACAGTAATGAGGCATGTCACGTGCTCCTCCATTCCAAAATACGTGTCGTAAATTTAGTTCAGACATAGTATTTATTTTCATGGCATAGAACTAATGTTTCCATCTTCAGTCCCCTATCCAGCCATGTAGCATATGCAAGCAATGGGCTAGTGCAGCCTAGCATCCCTGTTTTGTGCTCTAGGGATGCTAGCAGGGATCATTCTGCTACACTCAGTTACCATGTAACACTGGCGAGTTACCAGCGAAAAATGCATTGCTCTCCAGTAAAGTGGAAAATGTGCATGTCATAGGGTATGCTTCCCGCAGTCGAGTCATTTGTGAGCTTGCACGTCCAATGAGTGCCACCAGATCAAGCGTTCCAACGTGAGGCTGCAAAGGAGCCTTCTCGCCTTCGTTGTATCTGTATTTCGTTAATATTTTTTCATACAATTTCCTCACTACTAACTGGGTATAAGCATTGACACATTTTTTTAACCTACACCTACGTCATAATGGCAATCTTATTTTCCTTGAATTATTACACACATACCCAATTTAGTCCAGTCACATATAATGCATATCACAGCTGGCTTATTGACGTATGTATGTATTAGTATATATTAATCTAAACTAAAACAAATTAATAAATTTGACATGATTTATTGCATGGTACTCTTGCGAGGTAAGCGTGTATTCATCATTTTTCTGTCATTATAATTTTTACAAATATTCCTTGCAATGAAATAATGTTATGATTTTTTGGTAACTACAAGACAGAAGATGACAAGGATAAGCAAATGGGACAAGCTTTCGGAGAGGTGGCAGCACTAAGCCTAGCGTGGCTTCCTGTAGCGTACGTAAATTGGACAGGCATCAAAGCTTTGTATTGTCGTTTGCCGAGGTTCTTGTTTTCTTCTTTCTTTTTGGACGTTTTACTGAACTAAGTGTTGTCTCTTGTTCGATGATGATGCAGAGAATAGCTGTGAGCAAAGATAATCATGTTTGGAAAGAGATTTTGATGTATATCTTATTCGCGGTACCCATCTACCTTGTTGCGTCTTGTTCGTTGGTTAGAAACTAAATCGAGCAACCTTTAATAGTAGTAGTCAGGAAATTAAACTCGATTGAGTTGGCCAAGCAATCTACAACTTTAAGCTGTGGCAGCGATGAATGCTTTGATACTTGTGGACAACCGGTGGCTCGTTGAACCATCAAGAAACCTTTAATAACTTTTGTGAGTTTATAATGAGATGATGTGTGCTGTAGATCCAACAACAACAATGCATATATGGAATTTTTTTAAGTCTTTGTCCTGGAGGCTTGATGAACACCATGAGCAAAACACATGTTGTAGCCTTTGTTTCCACATAGTTTTTCATCCTTTTTGAAATTATTCATTTTGGGAAATTTTAGGGTACCTCATACTACTGCTTGTGGTTGGTAGTATTAATCAGATCCAACGGTTGATGTAAAGGGCACTTTAGTCCAATTCTTATTAAGTTGATTCTCTTTCAATGTGCGTCTTCCTCCCCGCAGTCACCGGCTCACCGCGCACGGGACCAATCTCGTTCATCTCTCGCTCACCACATCATCACGCTGATCAGTTGCTTCACAATCATGTGCCCTCGCTGTCGCTAGTCACTCGCCCCCAATACAGCCGTAGACGTAGCGGCGCCCATGCCTCTCACCACCCGCCCGCTGCATTTCTCTTCATCGCAGCAGGCAAGTAGCAGGAGTTGGGTCGGTAGGTGATCCGTGTACTGGAGCTCACAGATTTGGGGAGGCTTAGCCTCGTCGGCGTTTTTGTTGCGGCGGTCTGGGGCATGGCGGCCAGCGCGGGAGCCCGACGAGCATCGGGGGCTGCTTTGTCTTGTCGATCGGCTACACTCTTGCCGGCCAGCGGCTCTGTTCCTCAGCTCGCGACGAGCCTTTTCTCGAATCTGCTCATCACGTACCGCTCAAAGGCAGCAATTCTGTCCATCTTCGCGCTAGATTCTCATCTCGATGAAATTAAACTTATCCGATTTTGCCCTTTTTGCAAGGAATACTACCCATCTAGTCGAGCAGTATAAATTAATATTAACCTTTAGATCAGCAAAAATGGATGGTCGATATTTACCTGATGCACCGTAAAAGGTCTCTTGATTTTTGGTGCCCTGACAACTATTTTTCCTGTGGGGTGGTTGCCTGACCACTATGTGGGGTGTATCATCTTTGTCAGCATCTTGGTGATTTTTAGTGTTTCAGTTTGCCAAGTTACCGATGACGGGTTCCGTGACGTTAGCCACTACAATGCATATTTTTCCTTTCATAAGCCGTTGAACATTTGGTGTTGGAGTACGGAGTTCAAATATCATAAACCTCTTAACTTATTTTTTTGATGATGTCAAAGTGAAGAGAATGCAAGATTTCCCATGCACAAATGCGGAGTATTTCCGGTCGTTGAAATATGATGAATATTTACGCGACACCTTTTTTTATAATAGACAATTTAGTAACGAACTAGCAAATATGATTGCACGACATTGGAGCATCCGCAATCACCACGGCCAATGCGTCTCCAAGATCCCAAATACCAAGTGTTAGATCTGAATACATGCACCAATGGAGAGAATCACTTCTTGCCAAACCACTGCTCCTTCACCCATGTCCCTTGTATTTCACTTGCGTTCCATCCCAGATCCATCCGCAGCCCAGTTATCTTCTGCCCCCTCCCAACATTGTCCATGGTAC